GCGGCGCCTTTGAAGCCTCTTGGGCACTCTTGAGGCCCTCTTCAGACAGTTGCGCTTCTACCAACGCTACGCCACTCATTTCTGGTTGAAATCGTTTTTTTTGTTGATTGGCGTTTTGTCGCCGAAAGCTTCGCCAGTAGAATGTCACTACTGACTCGGCGCGCTGGAGCCAAGCTTGCGAGCCTGAGCGAGCTCAGATGGCACCTTGGGCATTATATGGAGGCCACGGGCTCTGGATTGGAAGGCTCCGGAGGCCCCAGGGACTCGTGTTTGGGAGCTCTGGTTAATGCGGGATGACGATTCATAAAAAATGGGAGAGAACGATTAAGAACATAGTTTTCTGTTATTTCTGCACAATTTTCTGACTGGAGGAGAACGATAAAAAAAATAGTTTTCCAGCCCGCGGCCGGTTTTTTCTAATCGTCATCCGGGGCGCCGCCGAGTGAACACGACCCCCGGCCATTTATTAATCGTCATCCCCCATTAATTCAAGCTTCGCTCCCCCTGTTCCTCCCCCCGCTCTGGCTAATTCAAGCCTCGCGCGGCCCGCTCAGCTTCGACCAGAAGAGGTGCGCTCTCGACCCGCGAATCAAAAAAGTGTTTGGGAGCTCCCCCCCCCCCCTCCTCTACAGTGAGCGGCTTGAGTAAGGAACACTTACTTTTCAAAGGGTGCTTGGTCGTTCCTTAAGGCTTGCATGCGTTACGTATCGTTCCTTATGCGTTTTTATTATTTATCGTTCCTTATGCTTTTTTCCTTGGAAAACAGGGGCTTCGTTCTTTATTTATCGTTCCTTAGGTCAGGCCGATGACTGTAATCGGGTATCAGACCCCAAAGGAGGGGGAAATGGGGGAGGGGGACAGCCACTCGCCTCTCGCTCCTGTGCATCCCCGGCCAGCGGAGGTCGGCGGATTCTTCGCTCTCGTCCCCTCGCCTTTTGCATTCTCAGCATTCGTACAGTTGGGGCGCTGAAGAAGGAACCATTTTCGTTGGGGAGGGGCTCCGTGTTCCTGGATTGCTTCACAGTTTGCCTTGGGTTTTCCTTTGGTTTTCGATGGGAAATCGAAGTTCAACTTGTGGATAGAAGGGGCCTCGTTCCTTATTTAGGAATCCTTGGGTCAGCGCTCCGACGATACTCTTGCAGAGTACTTATTCCTCCTACTCCCGCCTCCTTTTCAATCTTCTCCCGCCGCCCCCTTCAAGAGGTCACAAGGTTGCGCTGAACGGACCTTCAGATCGAAAAACATGAATCCCCCACCTGATGCATCCGTACAGTGTACAACGAACTCTTGGATCTCCAAATTCTCGGCTGCAGTAGCGCAACGGTGTCCCTGATACGCCCTCCTCCCACACCTTTCTCCTCACATCCTCCCTGGCATGAGGTCACACGAGTGCGCCAAGAGGACCCTGACTCCTCGAAGCCAGCTCACGTCCTGTTGCGGTCGTGGCTGTTTGGCGAGTTCGTTGATCTCCAACTTGCGGGGGGAACAAGTACCACGGTACCCCTGAGTAAGCCCATAAAGCGGTTGCGAAGGCACCAAGACGATCTTAAGACGCTGGCGCCTCCTTGCGACTCTGGATTTTCATTTCGCGGTCCTCCTTCCACGTTATGCATTGGCGCCCACGCTATCTAAAACTTGAGCACGATCAAATCGCCCGCGATGGTTCTGGATAGGTATCTACTTTCTTGAACTCCGTAAGTCCCGAGACATCCCAAGATCTTATCGTTATCCTCTCTTCTGGCCTTCGGGGGCATTCATTGGCGTCACGCCTGGACGAGGCCAGGAAAACGAGCCAGGATGGATCCCGTGAGGGGTCCGGAGGCCAGTCTTGGACCAAATTTTGGGGCAGACGCCAGGCGCGGGGGCGGCCTTCTAAGTAGGCACCCCGCCCTTCAGAAGCCCCTGCCGCCTTCTGAGAAGCCTTCGCACCATGACATGAAGATTGCCACGGAGGGGGGCGCCGATACCAAGGCAGTTGGGAATGTCATAATTACCCCATGGCGTCACGATAGGCTATGAGGTGTAAGCTTCTCTGCCTCCCTTGGACAGGCGACCCTCGCAGCGGAAAATCGTGTCTCAGTTGCCCTTCTCTGTTTGCCTCGAAGGGACCAGACAAGCCTGGGAAGACCCGTGAGGGCGACCATTCGCCAGAGTGACCTCTGGTCCGTGGCTTCTGGGGGGAGGGGGGTGTACAGTACAGAAGCCATGCACCAGCCCTGGGCACGGCGCTTGGACACCACTGTCGTCACCTTGCTGGGTATCCGGCAGGACGCGTGGGCAGAAAGAAGCAGCAGAACGCCCGATTGCGAAGCAGCGGAGCAGCGGAACCGCGGAACAGCCTTGCCAGAAAGAAACGACAGAACAGCAGAGAGGGGATGGGGGGGAACTCTAGCTCGCGTAGGATCCTACTTCGGTGACCAGATGCGAACCCTACCCCACCACCCCACGATTTCTGAGGGGGAAGGTGCGGTTAACTCTGCTCGGGAGGTCCCGAACGAAGTGAACCCCACCTCCCCCCTTGAGAAAGCGTGGGGTGGTGGGGTAGGTTTCGCATGTGGGGGAGGAGGAGGAGAAGGAGGAGAAGGAGGAGGAGAAGGAGGAGGAGGAGGAGGAGGAAGAGGAGGCAGAGGAGGAGGAGGAGCAGGAGGAGGAGGAGGAGGGGGGGATGATGGTGATGATGATGATGCTGATGATGATGCTGATGATGATGCTGATGCTGCTGCTGATGATGATGATGATGATGGTGATGCTGATGCTGATGCTGATGCTGATGCTGCTGCTGATGATGATGATGGTGATGATGATGATGCTGATGATGATGATGATGATGATGATGATGATGATGATGATGATGATGCTGATGATGATGATGATGATGATGATGATGATGATGATGATGATGATGATGATGATGATTATGATGATGATGGTGGTGGTGGTGTTTTCAGGGAGGAGGAGGAGGAGGAGGAGGAGGAGGAGTTTTGGTTCGTAGGGCAGGGAAGGGCTGCATCCTTTAGATTGGTTCGCCCTGAGCAGCAGCAGCAGGCAGGATTCGCATGTGGCCTCCTGCTGCCGTCGCGTCGCACGCAACGGCCGGCAACGCCGCGCAGCGCAGGCCACCTCCTGCCCAGGGCCCACTGTTGCGTGTGGCCGGCCTGCCTCCCCGGAAGGGCCGCCTCCTCGCGCCGCCCTGCCCGGCGCACCGCCGCCGGGTGGAGGGTTTCTCCGAAAAGCTTAGGCGGCCCGTCCTCCTCCTCCTCCTCCTCCTCCTCCTCCTCCTCCTCCTCCTCGTGACCCCCCCCACTAAGATGGGCAAGTGGGTCCTCAAACGGCTCTCCGAAGGCAGGCCTCTTAAGTAAGCCCCTTTCTATACTAGAGGCGTTCCCGACTGCGCCGGCTTGGGGTAATCCTTGGGTAGTCCTCTTCCCTCCTCCTCCATTTCCTCCTCCCCCTACCCCTCCTCCACCTCCTCCTCCTCCTCGTGAACCCCCACTGAGATAGACAAGTGGGTCCTCAAACGGCTCTCCGAATGCAGGCCTCGTAAGTGAGCCCCTTTCTATACTACAGGCGTTTCCGACTGCGTCGGCTTGGGGTAATCCTCCTCCTCCTCCTCCTCCTCCTCCGCCTCCTTCATGTTCTCCTCCCCCTACTCCACCTCCACCTCCTTCTCCACCTCCACCTCCTCCTCCTCCTCCTTCTCCTCGGGTCGCCTACGGCCCGGGGGGAAACCGTGCGCCGCCGGGGGCTGTCTGAGGCAACCTCGTGGGCCTTCCATGAAGGCGGGCGTGTCCTTCTACAGGAGGAAATGTTCAAGAATAGTGTAGACATAGTCTGGTCACGATTTTGCGTGCTCTGTTTAACTATTGCGAAGGTCTCACGGCCAGTGCCGCCGACCCTGAAGACGACGAAGATGAACGCGAGCGGGGGGGGGTAAGAGGCGGAGGAGGAGGAGGAGTGGGGGGGAAGAGGAAGGGTGTACGAGGCAGATGAGGGAGGAGGAGGGGGGGGGAAGGATGAGGATGATGATGATGATGATGAGGAGGAGGAGGAGGATGAGGAGGAGGAGAGGAGTAGGAGGAGCAAGGAGGAGGGGAGGAGGAGGAGGAGGGGGAGGAGGAGGAGAAGGAGGAGGAGGAGGCGGAGGAAGCGTTGCGGCATTCTGGGGTCTTTTGGAAACAGCTTTTCATGGTTGTGGCGACCCCTTCCTCCTCCAGCGCATCTACAGAGGGCACCTCTGTAAAAACCCAACAGGGGATGACATTCTGACCCGGGACCCCCCCCGGGACCCCCCCCCCAGTGAGGAAGGGATCAAAGGGAATGGGTTTCCCGTGGACTAAATGATAAGGTTGTTGATTTCGCTTTGGCTGGGTTGCTTCATTTCGCTTTGGCTGGCGCGCTTGAGGATGATGGCCCAGGGAAAGAGGGAGGGAGCGGCGACGGACCCAGAAACGAAGACGACGAGTTCGTACGAGGACAACCACGACGAACAACCCCTTCCACACGCCGACAGGGTCGGCGGATTTCAGATTCAGAGCATGTTTTTTGGCTATGGTTTTTTCCTCCAAACTCCGCCTGTAGGAGGATATGCCCGACCTGAAGCTTCCTCGTCCTCGTCTCGGCCGCGGGTGGCCGCGGCCTCCGGCGGTGTACCAGGGCGCCGTTTCGGGCGGGCGGGCGCCTGGGGATGGGCGGGAGCGGCTGGCTTGGCATCGTTCGGGCGCGTGCGTTCTTCCCTCGGCGAGGACCATCGAGGAGCATCTTGGGTCATTTTGCGAAAGTGCACGCGCGAAATCAGCAAATGTATGGGGAAGGGACGTCCGAGCGATGGCGAGCTGGGGGTGGTGGGGGGGCGGGCGGGTGCGCTCATGGGAGCAGGTGCCAGGCTTCTGCCCGAACTCCTGAGCACCAGAGCGCCGATCCGGGCAGCTTTGTATTTCGGTTGGAGCGCGAGAGCAGCTTCGAAAGTGCAAACCTGCTCTCTTGGGCCGACCCCGGCCAAGGCAGAGGTCATCCGCGACCTCGAGATGAAGGCGAACGCGGCTGCGGCCGAGGGCGGCAAGTGAAAAGCCAGTGACGGGCATCCCGGGCGATCCTGGTCCTCCCTCCTCCCTCTTCCTGCTCATCCTCCCTGTCCCCCCCTCGAGAAGTCTCCCCCCTCCCTCACTGTCCTTCACTCCCTTTCGTCGTCGTCCTCCTCCTCCTCCTCTTTCTCCTCCTCTTCCTTCTCCTTCCGCAGCCGTTTTGGCTCAACAGGCCTGTTCCGTAATTTCCCAATTTCTCTCGGGCGCCTTGTGGCCAGCCACGTAGGGCGGGTCGCGGTCGCTCCCCCTGGCCCCCTGGCGGTCGCTTCTCCTCGGCTCCCGTTTCCGTTTTCCTCTCTCGCCATGGAGGCGATGCGCCAGGCCATGCCGTGGCCAAGCAAGTGTCATGCTCCAACCACCCTTGTGGAGAGCGAAGGTAGCGAGGACGGCTCCGACTGCCCGCCGTCCCCAGGAAAGAGCACGACTGACACCAATCTGATTGCCGCCCAAAACTGAGTTCACTCAGCCTCCCTCGTGCATGGTAGATTCTCTCGCAAAACAGCTGCATCGGGGTATCGCGGATATCGACCAGCTGATTTCGGGAATCCGGGGCCACATGTAGCAAGTTGCGAAGAATTTCCATATCGCGCAGACAGTTCATGCAGATCTTGCGAAGCAAGCGATGTAGACTTTCGCAACTATCGCTCTATCCAGGAACCGGCTTTTCTTCAGGCCACTCAGGAACGCGAGATTGTTGCGAGGAGAGATAAGGAAGGATGTGATGGGGATATTGATACGACGAGGGAGGAGGTAGCGGCGTTGAGAGAGGCTCAGGTTGGAGGCGCAGTCGCTCCCATTTGTGGAACGGCAATTTTTTCTGATGGTGACCATCTCGGGCGGCAGGTTCGCCGTCGTCTCGAGCTAGGTGACGTTAGTAGCCCTTCCCTCGGGTGGTCCCGGGATTCCGCCGCCCGCTTCTCGAGGGTACTCGTCGCCGGGCTGCCGACCCAATCGTGATGCATGTGCGTTGGCCAGTTACACCCCTTGTGCCCAGATTTAAGCTTCTGTGGCGAGAAGGTCATTGCCGATTTCCCGGACACTCCGACGGCCTCCACAGTTCGCGCGAAGTGTGTGTCTGCGGGGCCGTTTCCCGTTCCTGATCCTGAGGGTGGACTGGAGATTGGGTTCGGCGTCCGCCGTGGCGCCCCTCGGGCGTCTGGCAAGATTTTGCTGTAAAACAAGATATTCAGATAAAAATAAATATGTGTACATATGTGTATATATGTGTATATATCACCTCGGGACCATGAGGCAGGCGGTGGCGCAAATCTTCGGGCAGGAGCGCGTCGTGTCTGCGGGGCCCGGGGGGATATTTTAATGTGGCCTATGGTGCTACTCCTGTTCCTGTGGTGGAGATCTCTGTCGTTGTCAATGGCCAAACGGCTGGCAGCGCGAACGCGGTGGTGGACGAAGTAGGCTTGGCCGAGACAGAGGGGGAAGCACATGCGCCATGCTCGCACGTCCGCTAGTCGGGGATCCTGCGAAACCGCGACAGCTGTCTTGAATGAGGGGGCCTCGAAGGGGGTATTTTTGCGGCTTCGGCGCCAGCGAGCTCAACTGGGCCCCCGTCTCCTGAGAGTAGATCTTGCAGTCGTTCAATTGACGCAGCGTCACAATTTTCTCCTCCGCTGGCTGGGGTCGCTGGTGGAATCCATTGTCCTTCTGCTCCGCTCGCGCCCTGTGCGCGGAATGCTCGTGCTCTCGTTGCCCCCCATCACACCCCCTCCTCTCGCAGCGAGCTCGAGGTTTCAGCTGGCCAAGAGCTTGCTGAAGAGGTTTAAGATTGCATGCTTCCAGGGATTCCAGGGCCGACTTGGCCACGTTAGCTGACGGACGAAATGCGCGCGGGTACGTTGCGCGGCAGTGCCATGGGGGGTGGGGCAGCTGGAGGAGTCGTCACATTTGTTTATGGCGCTCCTGTTGCTTTATTTCCGCATATGCTTCCTATCGAGGTGGTGGGAGGGAGAGTCCTCCTTCTGCGTTGCTCAGGGCCTGCGGGGCACCTCGCGATTGCTAGTGGTCATGTGCCTAACGCGCGTGATCACATTAGTGCGTCTAGGCTGCGTCCGAGGAAGATCTTGGATATGCGACCCCCTGCAGCTCGCAGCATGGCGCTGGTCGCAGGAGATTAGGATTTTGCTCCGATGGAAGATTTGGGGAATCCGGCGGGGGGGGGGAGTTCGGCCCTGGGGATCGCTTGCAGCGCGACGCCCTTCACGAGCGCCGCGGATCCCGGCGTGGAATGTTCCGGCCTGGCCCCGTGGGCAGGGACGTAGTATGGGGGCGAGATGCGTGGGTTCTCTTGGCCTGGCAGAGTCTGCGCGGCTCTCCTTGGTGGAATCGCCCATGAAGTTGGTTCTGTCGGGGCCCTGACGTGCGAGTGGGCGTCGTCGGACCACGCCCCTGTCGCGTCGATTATTGCCCGCCCCAAACCTGGGGGCCCCTTTCGGCGCTGACGCGGGTTAACCAGCATGCTGCGGGCAGAAGGGCGGGCATCGGAGCAGCCGAGGGGACTTGCGCTCCCAGATGACCTTCCGCAGCGGGGCGTCTCCATTTCGCAGTCATGACATGCCGAGGGCGGAGGGGGCAGCAGCGGTATATTGTCGTGCGTACTATGCGATGCCATGGTGTTTCCTTATTTCTGCGATGTTGACCGCGGCATCTGCGCGGGCCCAGGCGGTCTGCGCTCTCTAATAGCTGATCTCTAATTGCTGAGGAAGTGGGTCATGGCAGAGAGACCAGGAAGTCTACGAGCAAGATGAAGAAGCGTCTGTTAGCTTTGAAAGGGGGGTGCTTGGGTTCCCTGGCCCGAGCCCGGCGACGCGGCCTGTGCGCTGGCCTTCTACAGGGCAAGTGTTCTCGCGCCCTGCAACCGCGAGGAAGAGCGCTGGCCGGCGATCTCCGCCCGCGCGCAGTCGCTCGGCCAGCTGCTTCGCCTGGGTCAGGGCGAGCTTGACAAGCGCGCGTTTCAAGCGGCACTCTGCCCCTGGCCCCCGCGGCGCCCCTCCCGGTGGTCGGGCGCTTTCTGAAGCCACTGATGTTCTGTTTGGCGCGTGCAAAGCTCTCCGCGACGGCGGAGGCGCCGCTCTTCTTGGGGGCAGTGGGGCCAGCATAATGGCATTCCTGCCGAAGGGGGAAGCGCCCGCCGATCAAGGTGCTGCTGCCTCGAGACTGCCAGGTTCTACCGGCCCCCTGTCCCTCTCCATTGCGGGCGTTGAGATTCTCTCGGGCCCGTTCTGCGCGAGTCTGAATTTGGCGGCGCCGCGGGCGGTCGAGGAGCAGCAGCGCGGGGGCGCCAAGGGCCGCAGCGTCGTGGATAACGCGGTCCAGGTGGAGAAATTGGGGCTTTTCAGCGCGCGCGGGAAATTGATGAGGCTGATGTCTGATTCAATGATTTTCTGCGGGGCCCCCCCGTCGATTCTCTCGGCGTTTCTCGAGATTTTCAGGGCCGCGGGCATCCCGCGGGCGGTCAATTTTCTCTTGCGCATCGCTGCACAGGAGCAACATTGCAGCGGTCAGTTTCGCTGGGGCAGCGGGCGTCAAGTTCCAAGTCGCGCGTGGAGTCAGCCGCGGAGATCCGTCGTCGATGACTCTCTTCTCTCTATCGTTGGACCCAGTCTTCAGATGGTTCAAATGCCAGCGCGCGCCTAGGCTTGATCTATGTCTCGGTCTGCAGAACACTCTCGTTGATGTGATGCCTGCGGTTCTACTGCTTCATTTGTTATCTGCCATCGGTCTCTTTCTGGGCATCGGCGACTACTGCGCGCAAGTTCGCGGGGCGCCATCATGCGAGCGTCTCTCTGAGCGCGCGAGGGGGGAGTGGAGTCGGTTCCGCGCAATAGACTCCGATGACCACGCGTTATGCCTCGGTTTGTGGATTGGGCCGACGGTTCACGCTGTGGGGCGGCGGGAAGTCATATTCGAGTTCTGACAGAGGGCGCGACATCTTTGGTCTTTCCTCGGGGCGACCGACGACGCTTCGACTTTCCGTTCGGGCTGCCTATCGGCGCTGCAATATCGACCCCAACCCGTTCGGGCCACTCCCGAGGTTGCTGGGCCATAGGGGGGGGGG